CAAAAACGATGAAATGTGCTGAGGGCAAGACAAAGCAGTGGATGCACAAGAGCAACCAAAAGTCCTTCTGCAGGAGCACCTAGCCAATGATGTCCACATGAAGTTTCACATGATGTCGACACTGTCACACGGCCCAGACAAGAAAAGAACACACAGAACTACGTAGAAAGTCTGCGCTCAAAAAGAAGAAGAGCCAGTTCCAATCAAGAATTTGTTCCGTAAAGCCTGCCTGTGAGCATATTCTCATGGTTCCGTATGTTGCCAGTTCGCCGCGGTCCCAAGCATGTTCAACCGTGTTCAGCCCCTGGGATATAATCACACCCTGAGGCAGGCTCCACCTCTGTTGTTCAAAACATAGCAACAACAAAGGTCCTTCCCAAGAGTTACAAAGGGCATCGCTACTAGGAGCAAGGACGCTACTAGGGGCTCCTGGCTGAGAAGCTACCAGTAACCAGAAGCTACTAGGGGCTCCTGGCATCGCTACTAGGAACAAAACACTCGCCTTAGGCATTTCAAACACGTCAGGCTGATCGCATGGCACCTTTGGAGCGACAGAGCGGCCGAGCCTCAACCTTGGCCCAATCAGAGTGGCCGTTGGTAGGGCCAGCCAAACGAAACCTTTCCATGCCATGTCTCAGATTTAATGAATTGAAACTTGAAGAGCGTCTTGCAAATTCAATTAAGCAAATTTGACCTGGAGTGAGCCAAAATGTCATCTCAAAAGTGAAAAGGAGCCTGAGGGTGCCTGATGTTGAGTACTGAGTACCTTCAGAGCTTCAACTTTCACTTGCTATTCCGTCATGTAGAGAACGGTAACACATCATTAACCTAGTTTCTTTTCCGTCGCACCTCTAAGGGTCTGACATGGTCACGCAATAGGAGCTTCGAGGGTCATAGTTGTGACCTTGCAGTGAGGTTGGTTCTCCCTAGTGCTCAGTCGTGATCTTCAACATGTTGACAGTCCTGAAAGGGCAAACCGACCTGAAGCTACAACCAGCTCAGGAGATTCAGCACATAGGCCGTCAAAAGCGGTAGGCCGCACACAGGCCACAACACAGTTATATATATATATAAATTGTTTCTTCCATCTATATATAGATCTGGGGTTCACTACGACAACATGTATATAAACAACACATATTTCACATGTTTTACAGTTATACAATACCAAACATCAAACACATTTATACACTGTATTCGACCAGCTCAAGTCACAATGATCCTCTTCACGACTTGTGGGAGGAACTAGGAACAAGAAGCTACCAGTCTACCAGGGGCTCCTGGCCTTACTACTAGGAGCAAGGGCCTAGCGGCTCCTGGCATCGCTACTAGGAGACCCGAATGAAGTATTCGAGTCACGTCACCCTGAGTCACCTCACGCCATGCAGCCGAGCCGCTCCCAGTGACTCCAGGCACGGCGCCCAGGCCTACACAGCGGTGGACATCCCACAGGTCCCATAAGCAACCAAGAAAAATATTTGCTCCTAGTACGAGTAGCGTCCTTGTTCCTAGTAGTAAGGCCAGGAGCTACTAATAGCGTCCTTGCTCCTAGTAGCGATGCCCTTTGCTCCTGTTTGGCTTTTGCATGATACATGCACAACACTCAAAACTCACAAGGATCCCTTTGATGGATGCTCGCATACCCTCACCGGCCCAAGACAGCGACCACCTCGCCACCCTGCCTGACAGGCTCTGTGTAAAACTCATGGCATCACGGATCTTGACGTTTCATGGGAGATGTCGCAAACGCTTCGCTGAGCTGAAGGAATAGTAACCCGTCCTGCTTGGGAGTCTATGTATGTCTATGCCTATCTATGTTTGCTCACTGACTGCATCTGACTGCATACAACTGTCGTTGCGAAGCTACTGAGCGGCTACTGCCCTTAAACTGCCTTCCTCCTTGTGCCTTCCTCCTTGTTTGCGATGCGGGGGGGTTGGCCATGGCTCATGTCAACTGGAAAGCCCAAAGTTGCCAATACTTCCGTTTCCGGTTCAACACCACCCACAAAGAAACACAAGCACAAACCTGAGCTGATCTTTTTACGGCCAGTCCAGCCTGAAACATTTCCTGCCAACCAATTGAACAGTTCCCAAACACGTCATATATATATATATATATGTATGTCTAACATGGTATGGCAAAAACTACTGACAATATCAATGTGACCAGCTCTTTGTTGGCCTGCTTGTTTCCATGACGCCAGTGTCACAAGTTTAGTTGTGCCTCACACTACACATGCAGGTCAAAGCCCAAAGGTCTAAACCATTTACATACACCTGTACATCCTTGGACTAGTCCTTTTTGTAGAGCATCACTTAAACCGAAACAGTGTTTTGAGCAGATCGAGGTTCTCGTTATGCTATAGAGTAGAAGAGAATATAATTCCCGTGATGTGCTACATAATGTGTTTCGTCCGGAACTTTATTTATAATTGAAGCTAAATGGAGGTTTTCCGGAGTGAGACTTTCTTCAATTCCAGGATATTTGTAGGGCTTGTCTGACCGACAAACTGTTGAATCTTGAGAATTGTCACCGGATCACCAATCCTTTTTGCTGAAGGACACAACACTGCAAAGTCCCACAGCCAAAGCCAAAACTAGCATTCTGGAACTATGATAAAAGTCTCTCAGTAGGCTCGTCCTAAGGCTTCTAAGGCTTCTGCTTCATATTGTTCCAAGTGGAGAGGCAGAGAAACCAACACCCTAAGATCTGTTAGGTGGAAGCCCTTCATTCGACTCCACAGCCGAGGTTGAAGGAAAAACAGGACTCTCCAATCGGACGGAGTTAACTGAGTGAATCTGCCAAACGAAAACATATACTGTATAATTAGATTGGTTGCTAGATCTATGATGATCTACTATGAATGTCACATACTTTGACGAACACTTCCTGCAAGCATCAGTGGCAAACGTAAGGTGGCTTGAAACGGGAATTCCAAACTAGTAGCGTATCAGGTGAAAAAAAGGACACACTTCCGAATACATGAGGGCAACTGGGCTGGACAACTAGTAGTGAATAAACCGTAAAATAAACCCACTATGGAAAAATGATGAAAAATGTGTGTGTGTGTGTGTTGTGTGGTGTGTGATGAAGAAGTATGTGATGACTTGTCAGGTAATGAAGAGTGATGTCAGAATGCATCACACGGCGCATGGTTAGGCCTCACCGAAAAGGACATGCAACAAACACTGAAAGAAGCAGTGTGGCGGTGGGAAGCCCATCAAGTTGGACCGGGAGAAGCGTGCTGACGCATGTGTAAGTACACGACACAAAGCCTCACGTATGCAGCACCCAGCGCTCTGAAAAGAGATGTGTGCAAAAGAACTTAGACTAAGATAAAGTAATATTAAATGATCAAACGGCTATCCAACAGCGCTTTCGAGGTGGCTTCGTGTAGGCCTGTAAGCTGACGGAACTCACGGCCGATCTCATGTTTTGCTCACAGAGTATGAACTTGACTGGAAGATCAAGAATGTTTGGAATGTCCGGAAGAAAACAGTGGTGTTTTTCTTGTGAAACCACACGACCCCCCTGGAGCATGCACGCGTTCTTGTTCCACAGGCTCATCCGCGGTGATCCAACCTTTGCATCTTCTGGCTTGCACATGGTCACCAGTCCTGATACCTACATATATGACCTTTATTTACATTTGATAAATGCCTATAAATACATGCATGGCTAGCCCGACTCAGGCGTTCTCTGAGTCAGCTGCGCACCTCATGGCAAGCTGCGCTTTGGGCACTAACCGGGTGTCATTTCCTCTCTTGGGATTTCCTCTCTTGAGATCTCTTGGGAGCATGGATGGTGACACCTTTCAAACAGACTGTCAATGAATAGAGGGGAATAAAATTGTTATTTTTGTCAGAAACAAGACCTCAGTTGAAAGATGCTGAAAGCTGGTGCAGCAAGACCTCAAAGGTCCAGTGAGTGGCAGATTTTAGGGCATGATCGTCTGATGAGTTCACAAGTTGTGAAGTGGAGCGCGAACTAATTATGGCGAACCAAGGCCAACCAACAGCTTGTCAGCTTGTAGTAAGGGTGGCTAGGACATTGCATAGTGGGCCTTACCCGCATCAACTCCCAGCCCGGTCAACATTACTGCAATTGCAATGGGGAAACGCAGGAAATCAATGACCTGCAGCGAAGGGAGGGCGCAGTGAGCTGTGTTTATGCTTGCATCAGAATGTACAAGAATGGGAAAATCACACTATTAGAGGACAACATGGGCAGTCATTGACTGAAGCAGCATGTGCAGAACTAACATCACATGTGCAGCAGCAAACCAAAGACTTCTTTTGCAAATGGAGAGAAACTAGTCAAGATCCAGGTTGGGATGCATCGTCCAGAAAATACTACTGTCAATGTTCGACCATCCAAGAGACGAGAGGACAATGTCACGGCAACACAGCACCCAAATCAACCAAATGACCAAGTCTATATTGTCCCCTTTATCGACTCTGAGTACAGTACCATATGCCCAAGGTGTATGACACAATTTTCCGACAAGCACTGCTGCAATATAGTGCAATTTACAAATTGAAGTATCGCTTATATATATATATAAACAAATGGATTATATATATATATATAAACAAATGGATGTGGCTCAAGATTCTTTTGGAGTGCCACACGGCACTTCATCATACTTCTGGCCTGACATCAGCTGTTGTATCAAGTAAGTAGACGATGTGCTAGTGACAAAGTCCCTAGCCTGGTGTTGTAAGCTTCTTCGCTTGCAGGCTGTTTCCAGAGTACATAGCAAATGCCTGGACAGGGACGGTGCCATGAATTCCGTGAAGCATAGTTCACATCTGCACGCATTTTTGGGGGCGCAATACCCAAGCGCATCTGATATAGAATGGAATTTCTGACACATCCTTCATGATTTGGCATAGGCAAAAGCTACTAAACATGCTTGACATGGGCTCACTCCAGCGCTTCACTAACATGCACCCGAGAAATATGAGAAATCGCAGCCCGCACGACGTCGCGGTCTTTTCATCGCGTAGTCTTCGTCCTCGGTCGATGGAGCATCCAAATCGATCCAGTGAACGGACCTCAGATTCGACAAACATCTACTGGACTGGACGGACCAATTATTCCCTTTGGTCGCTCAGGTCGCTCTGGTCTAGTAAAACAGAGTAGTCGGTCGCTTGAACTGGAAGCACGTGTTTTTTCTCCAAAACCTCCAACAAAGCCATGGGATCCTGTCTGACTAGGTCGCATTCACATGAAACCTGCTGAGCAAACAGGGGTCAGTCATCCGGAGACAACGTTCAGCCGTGTCTTCTGTGTGAACCTGACACTCTGCACACATTTCTGGCCAGGCACATCTGCAGAACAAGTCGAGCTCGATGTTGCACCTTAGATGGATCTGAATGAAAGCACGGATTCCTCTTGTTCCAACATTTGCAATGGTCCAAATTCAAACCAAACAAAGGTCACAAGCGTCGCCACCACCCGATATTCTAAGTAAGTAAGCGTTCTCACAACCAGGGCTACTTCAACACCCATTTTACGGATATTTCAATTCATTCTCCCGCTGGGTCAAACATGATCCAACCACGCGATTCTTCGCCTGCACTCGCTAGTTTCCCTTCCTGCAGGGACCATCCGCCGCTTATGGGAAGGTGCTCCTGCACAAACGATGCTGGCTTCCGACGAAGCGGAACAACCTGCAAAAGAGTTCAATAGAACGTTGCTTTTAGGTTGGAGGCCATCGTTATTAGGTTGGAGGCCATTGCTATCTGGTTCGAATCCACAGGTTTGACCCCTCAAGAGCAGTAAAAAGGGCTTCAGTTTTGACGACAGCAGTCCTGGTGATCCCAACTGCATCCCAAAGTCCGCTGCCGCACACTTTGTCCAGCTCCGTGTTGTTGGCTTGGATCCTGGGGTTTGATGTTTTGGATTTATTTGTTTCCTTGCACGAGTCGGGATGCATTCCTTCCCTAAGTTAACTTCCATATGATGAAGATCCCTCAAAATGTTCATGTTAATTTGTGCGTTTGTGTGCAAATGCGGTGAGTGTACGAAAAGCGCGTCTTGACAGGGACCGGAGCTCTGCAGCTGCCAAGGCGCTTGCCAAACTTGGTGTCTGGATCACATGCAAGATAGATCGCAGTGAAAGAGTTCCTAAGTTTGCCAAAGGGAGGGTTGGTCCCTCCCAAAAGAAAACGAGGAAGGTGACGCACCACCTGGAAAGTAGACAACCCGAACTGTGTTGTCAGGCTTCATCTGAAGTATCTGCCATCATAAACTCTCAAGACTCTAGACTCTTCATGTTCTTCGTCAGAACTTGTACGGGAAGTTGTTCCAATACGTAAGTAAAAACGATGTTCTCTGGCCACACTATGGAGGTGCAGAATCATTTGAGTTCTGCTGACGTGTGGCTCAGGCCACCTAAAGACCTGCCTTTTAGAAAACGGCAGTCCCTTGTGGTTTGATGTATGGCTTATTTCCGCATCCGGATGAAAAATGACGAAGCAACTCTAAAACAGTCAAGTGACTGCAGGGGTTGATACCCTGGATTCCACACCAAATGGACTCTTCAGTCCATTGGACTCCAGGCCACCATCACGGTCGGAACTCGCCCGCCCCATGAGTAATCCGAGCGGCTCATCAATCTCCTTGGTGGCTGGCTTCACCTGGCTTTTGATCTGGCACACCATGACAAGGATTCTGCCCTGTCTGGAGAATCGTGGAGGATTATTTAAAAAGCGAGGAGTAAGGACAACCACAAAAAAGAAACTTCCGTGATTCATTCAAACATGGGTTTAAAAAGTGTTTTGCCAACCTTAGATTATGACAAGAAGGCAAAGCACAACGAAACACCACAAATGGAAAACTTGACACTACGACACTGCGTGGTAACTGCTGACTAGTTTGGTGCACGTCTGACAAAAGGCATAAGCACGTACTTGTGGCGCAAGGGACGTGACTACGATCATTGTACACACAAATATATATGTATATCTGTATGCCATCTACTTTCAGCTTGAACCAAAGAAATTGACAATGCAAACCAATTGGCCTCCCTTACTTTGGACCTGCGTTCCATGGGCTCTACATGGCTCTACGAGCTTTTCGCATTCTTTGGGTCTCAGGATTCAAGTGGCAAACTTCGTGTTCACCGAAGCACAATCAGAACTCTGTGCCTTCTGGTAGGTCTCATCGTCAAAGGCATGGAGTTCCATGAAGACATTCACCTCAAAACGAATCCGCACCTGGATTGATAACAACATGGTAGCTGCTCAGTGAGTGCAATAATCGGCTACAATGGGCTACATTGGGTCAGGATGCTATCAGATTTGTTGGGTGGAGATGTTCGACAAATCAGGAACGTTTTAAGTTTGGAACCCTGTCTTGTCATACACATGTACATACAGTACTATCAAGCAAAGCTCTGCTTGTGAAGGTTGCGAGCGGTCCTAGAAACAGTTGTACCACATTCAGTTTAGTAAGCCGTCAAACATGTTCAAAAGACAAGATTTCACAAGTTCAATCAAAAAAAACACAACACCTTTCCACGCATTGGCATCAAATCAGGAAAGGGTGTCTGGCTGTTCGTTCCCTCAATGTCGGTCTAAGTCTAAGTGTAGCTTCTTGTTACTACTAGCGTGGCACTTGTTACTACTAGCGTGGCACTTGTTACTACTAGCGTGGCACTTGTTACTGCATTCCTCACATTGCTTTCAAGTCATGAGTTGTGGCACATTGCCGACATGTGGCAGCTTAAACCTGGCAAGAATCAACACCTACAACCTGCCGCGGGACCATGAGGTTGTAGTTCTTATAGGCAGTCTTGAGGAGCGGATTCGTCTTGATGATGTTCCATGGCTCACCTCCACTGCCACCGCCTTCACCTGCACGGGTGCCCCGCTGTTGCTGCTTGAGGAGTATTGATGCGATTCTGCCATCCAGTCCAAGGCAATGTCACTCATTCCCCAGTGAGTCGTTCCACTGACTGAGAATAGTTCAGTTTGCAAGTTAATATGCTCAGAAATATCAAGCGAACTATCATCCAAAACTAATTGCATGAAGGGTTATTGTTTTACCGAGCTTCAATGTGTTTCATAGTATTCTGCGTTCAGCTATCCGCTATCCATCGTCATCTGTGTTCAACATACTTTTCATCAGTTCCCCAAGATCAATGGGACACCGAACAGCTGCCATTGAAATACATTTCACTAGTTTCGACAGGATCTCAACTCAAGTGGATGATATATAACCTCTTCAACCTCATACCACCTGTCCTGCTGTCAAGCCACTTGCTTTAAAGCGCCTACAGAAAGGACATTACACCAGTCGGAGAGTTAGCTCAGCCAAGCCGCAGGGTAAATCCTTGCGAGATAATTTAGGTTGAGGGGATGGAGATGGTTCGAAGGTTGTGCTTGCGTTGAGAAACTCAGGTTGCCATGTTATTATTGATAGGACCACGCTAGCCTGCTGAGGGCGGAGAAGACTGAGGGAAACGGCAAATGAAATGGACGCAAATACACATGGCATCATCTGACTGCTCGAGATGATTGGAGAGAAATGGAGAGAAGCTGGGCAGAATAATGAACTAGGGTTGGCAACTGCAAATGCAGAAAAAGAGGTAGTGGCATCTATGATGATGGTTGAAAGGACAAAAAAAACTGGTGAATGTCGCAGTATTGCTTGAAATCATGAGACAAAGGTCCAGTTTGGGATCAAGGTGCAGTTGTGTAAAAGAGCCAGAAAAGGCTCAACGATATCTTCTGGCAAGCCGAGCCAGCACGAAGAGAATTACTGTAGGACTACAGAGCGATCAAGAAAGACACAGTGGTGAGTTTTCGGGACGGGGACGGGTGCAGGACAAAGTCGTGCCAAACATTGCTACTGTAAATCATCTCACACCCCACCACCACATGACATTATCGCCACACATCACAGTGATCATATCATAATATAAGATCATCACATTGCCTTCCTGTACAAAAAGTCATGACCCCTGGCTCTGCAGGAGATTACATGCTGCAATCATTGAAACCAAACATAGCAAAGGCCTGGTGTTTCCGGGGAAAGAACCAAGCGAAGTAACACGGAAAAGAAGGAAAAGGGACAGGACAAACAGTACAGAAGGAAGATAAAAACATAGAGAATGTAACAAGAAAGGTGTGTTTAGCAGTTTAGCACATCGCATTCATTGCGGTTTCTGTGCATCCCACCTTGGAAGGTCACATATTCAGAGATTCTGCTGGAGAGAATTGGGCCTCAGTGTGAACAAGGGAGCATGTCGAAAGCAAACATATCTTGCTCCATAGACATCCTGTCACTGCTAGTTCTTTCTTTTACTAATTATGAGCCGTTTTTTCGAACAATCTGCATGGCTCCATGAACAATTTGGATGTTTAGAGCTTGTAGGGCAACGAACCATGCAAACCAATCCCTGTCAAGCCATTTCTCGTGTGCCTTGGCCAATGAATGGCGCAATCGCCCAGGAATGGGCTTCTGTGGGCCCCCCCAGCCAATGCCGTAGACCTCCATCAACTCTTCTCGCGAGTGGAAAGGCCCATGCTGCTCCCGGTGTGCCACCTGGGGTGCATGTAGAATCTGGTAGAAGTTAGGTCTTGTTGAATCTGAATGATCCTTCGTGGTCTTGACTAACCCCTACCCCCTACCACTACCTACCAAAGCGCCGCTACAAGGGTTATGTCTAGAAGATCCAAGCAATGCATTTCGAAGACTGTGCTTCAAACAAGAACGCAGTGTTTCTTTTGCACCACTTCCATCCTGAGGAACTGGCAATCTTTTCAGCCCTCTTCCTGGCTGCAAAATTAAATAAGTGGTACAATGTCAATATATGGCCTCACAAGTCCAATCAAACCCAATGCAGAAAAGTACACGGTAACCTCTTAGTCTACTGAAACCATCTTGGAGCGTCTTTAAGATCTCCAAATTACATATATATATATTGTAAATATATGATATACAATAATATAGTCTTATATATAATATATAATATACAATTTAGCTGCTGTTGGAGAGGGAAGCCCAGGTTCTAATTCTTCATGCGCTGGACCGTCAGCTGTCCGACAATAAATACATACAATCGTGCACTCTCTGCCCGGTCCTGCCAATGCTGGGAATAGACATCAGCTGATCCACCGAAGCTTCGTTAATGTTGAATAGGCCTCTCAGCGCCAACTCGGAGGCAGCCAACACCTATCTAATAATCTAATGGCATACATCATACCCATCGATATCAAACCCGTAGATGTTCAACCTAGACGAACCTGCACCTGTCTTTGCTTTCAGGTAGCATGATGCTGATGGTTCACCACACTCTTCGCAGAAGCTAGAAACTTTGTCAAATTAACAAGTGAACTCCGTGCCAAATGCTTGATGCTCGCCAGCAGGCTTGCCAGCAGGAATCGCCACATCCAGTGTGGCAGAACCAAGACTGTAAACTCACATCGAAGCGAACCCCAATCCTATATTTATATGAGACATTATTCTACCAGTCTTCCAAATTAATATCTTGGTTCATTGTTCATCGCATCTGCAAACGTGCAACGGCCTGCGGCGTCCCTGTCCATCATATCATCGTCCAAATCATCCACTGACTTGTAGTAGGTCTGCAATGGGCGGATAATTTTACAGAACGCCACGGAGTTATTGGCAAAGCCAAAAGTGGGTGGATGGCCAAACAAATATGAAAGATAAGAAACAACCCACCTGCCAACTTGTGTTTTGCAAACAATGTTTTGTCAACTTTGTGGACATGAATTTGCACCAAGGTCATACTAACTACTTTGGGTTGCACAAGGTTTGGATGAGGGGAATTTCTGCCCAATCAAAAGGCAGCCAATGTTGATCATTATTACATTCAGGGCCGCGTCTAATGGTGGCATGCGCTCCTCGTTCTGTTCTTGGCAGCGCTCAAAGGTACCTGATACTGTTACAACTATGACAGCGCTTCAAGTGGACCTATGCTTCCCTACAGAACAGGTTCTGCCTTGATCGACTGCTTCAACTGCTCGATCAGCTTCACCATCCTGGTGTCTGGATTCAATCACTGGGAAACAAAGGAACCGTGGGAGTAAAACAGTGGAGTCTATATTTAAAGCCATTTATATAAGAGTTACCACTTCACAAAGTGCTGGAAGCTTTCTGTGCTGCTGGGCGCAACCCTGTGTCTAGTCTAATCATTTCTGTGTGCATGAATATCAATATGGTCAATGTTGGGTGGAACCAAAGAACACGGTCCTGTTGGCACGGTCAGCCTGCTTTTTGGCGTCTCGAAGTTTGTCCGCAGCCTCACCGTCTGTGAGTCAAAAGGCTGCGACAGGTGAGTTAAAGGTGACTGGTCATTCTTTGGTGTCTAAAATCACAGCACGGTCTAAAATCACAGCACAATCTGTGAGTGATGTGGACAGCTAATCCAATGCAGGTATGGCCTAGTATCTTGGCAGTTTTCATACAAGTACCTGTCACGGTGTGTGTGTGTGTGTGTGAGTGTGAGTGTGGGTGTCTGTGTGATACAGTGCATGTATATTCATCCACTCGCAGCCTCAGTATCTGCGACTTCTGCCACAGTGGCATCAGTAACTGCGTTGTCAAGGCTCGCCTCAGGAGTGTCATGGAAGGGTCGGAGGGACCAGGATCTTGTTCCTTACTATCCCCAAAGTCAAGGCATCAGGAGAGTTCTGCATTCAAACAACTGGGTTTCCTAAACTCCTGAGCAACCAAACTAACTTGAACAACCTTGAGTGATGCATCCAAATGCAGTTCAGCAGCTTGCAATTCATCAAGTTCCTGGCCAGCGGGGGGGGCATTGGGCTGAGGGTACTACCTGTGCAGGTGCACTCTCTTCCAACTCGTCTGGCATGAGAGACATGCTTCCATTCGCTTCCGTTGAATCTCAGTTTCCGTTGGTCCTGAGTCTACCGATTTTATATAATTCAGGGCTACCAAGCAAATATGTTCATACCAGCTCCAAGAACTACTGCAGTGCACTGTAGATCATCCTCAACAAAATGTGGCAGTGCCTAGTACTTCAGTGTCCCCTAATTAAGCAAGCTGGAATGAATAACTACAGGGTTAAATCAAATCCAAAAAGACCCTCAAAACACTCGACTTTTGTCCCAGGACATCCACCTGGGTTTGCTCACATGGCAATCAATTTGCCAATATCATAAAAGCATACATGAGGTACATGACGGGCTTAGGGCTTGGTAAGCAGCTTGGTGTCTACAAAAATATTGGTCTTGGTGGCCCGGACGGATGGCGGTAGGTCTTGGCTTTTGTCGAAAGGACGCCCACTTTTAATGGCGGTACCCTTGCTTTCCACATCCTTGCATCTGGTTCCTAAAACGACCAGCACAGAGAAGCTTCAGAATCCTGTGGAGAACATTTGAGATGGATGTCAGTGGCATCCAAAGATTTTGATTTTCAATATGTTCCTTTTAATTTGCTGCATTGGTGCTTAAACTGCTGATCTTGGAGATTTTGCTGATCGGCCCGGCTCAGCCTGCTGTGCGTCCTGCACTGCTTTCTCGGCCTTCACCTGTTCCTGCTGCACACCAGCCTGGGACGTGAAAACTAAGGCAGCTCGTAGTCGTTTGGCCCGTGATGCTGTCTGGTCCATTATTACAACAAAGGGCTATGACTCATGACCTCAAAAGAAATTCAATGAAATTCAAATCAACAACCATGTTTGCTCAGTTCACTGCGAATGTGTGTTGTTGGTATACTTCAGGCTCTTGCAACTGATCCGAATGGCCTTGAACTTGGTGGCAGCCATCACCTTGCCCTTCAGGTCCTGGGCTGATAATTGTGTCGTGGTTTCATCCATGGGTTGTGGGAGAGTTTTTTCTTGCCCACAGTGCACTCAAATGCATCGTGGTGTGGCCATTGATGTAGCAATACTAACATTTCGGCTTTGGCCGCAACGTCAGCTGTGCGGCAGCTCTTCACTCATTGGGTGACTCTGATTCAGGCACTCACGCATCATCTGCCGGTCAGGCACTCAAGCAAAACAGGTTTAGGAGTCCTGCTTCAGGCTCCTTTGGCCACACCAAACAAAATGCTGTATCAATAACTCTCTCGTCTGGGCTATGTCCAGTTTCGGCCTTCTGTTGATGTGTCGTGTCTTTAAGCATAAATGCAATGTCGTGATGCTGGTGAGTGCACGCGAGGTTTGTGGATCTTCGCCCAAATCACAAATTGCTTTAAGTGGCTTCGTGTGAGCTCGAACACCCTGAGAGGAGCATGCCCCCACGGCAGCAACTCAAATCAGAATGGAAACGTTCGACAAAAAACTTTCGAGAAACTTCCAAACACCCTCGAAACGAACACCGTGTTAAAGTTTGGCGACCGAGAGCAAAGCCATGCTGCCAAGGATCAAGTTGCTCGTGTTCCGCACTGTCCCGCTCCTGGACCTGACTTATCTGTCATAAGCGCAAGGTAACATAGCTTGGAGGGGTGTCGTAGAATAAAACATCACAACCACTACATATGCATCTTCTTATTATACATCTTTTCATCCCCAATGCAAAGCAGCAAAACAGAGTTTGCTAGGTGCTTGATCCTTGCTACCTTCACACCAACACATTTGACTGGGACACAGAGCTGGCCACTACATGCGGTCCCACCATTCGAACCGTGGCTTCTGTTCAAAATCATCGGTTGAAGACCCCGCAGCATTGCCGGGACCTTCTTGTCACGCTGATCCTTTAAGTCCTCAGCACTCGAAACCATGTGGTCTGTCAAAGGTTGAGCTGAGATTTCAATGATAAGGATTACAAACACCACGGGCGCCCCAAGGTGGTCGGTATGGAAGTGAAGAAGGGTGGGGGAACATGATCGGTAGGAGAACCAAGGTGGTGCAACTGCGTCACAGCAAACCACACGGTCCCGGCGCTTGTATCTTTAAGCGCGCAACCGTGAAGTGCGTTTCTCGCAGCGGTGAGTCGATGAGGGGAAGGACGGGGACAGTGAGAAAAGAGAACAATGTATGGCTTGACTCGTATCATAGGTAATTAAGGTACTATAAATATGGTGTTATATGATATATGTTCAGTGTGTTCTTGGTGAAAGGACCAAACCGATCACGTGAGAATTGGTCTGTTGCGACGCAATCACGCCCGCAGGAGTCGCCCAAAGATCCCGATGCGATCGGCCGGCGATGCTCCTTTTCTTGAAGCTATGTATCAAAACGTATACAGTATACACATTGAGCCAGGGAAACACCGATGGATGATGAATCTATAAAGCCTCCAAAAGAGCAGGTCAGATGCGAATCTGAATTAGTGAAGCCCAAGGAAATTGCAACGCAGCAGCATGATGAAGGGCACAAGGCCAAAAGGAAGAAGGCAGACCCGAATCGAACGAACTCACACAGGAACCCTCGGTAGGGAGTGCGCTCATTGGCTGAGTTTGAGGCAGCTTGTTAAAATCCAAAGTTTGCTGTTTACTCTATATTATAGTTATTAATGTTCAAAGTTTTCCAACGTTGGTCTTGCTTTTTCTAACCAAGAAAGGACACAGACTTTGGTTGTTGTGCTATGCTGTGTTTTCTGAGGAATTCTTTCTAGCTAGTCGCGCGGCCTGTTTGGACGCCTTCCATGAGAACTTACAAGAAATCCATGAATATCGAGTTTGCACAGGGTCACTTGAGGAGGCGTAACGAGGGGATTTGGCTCTTGATGGTTCTCGTATTGAGGGCCAACATACGTGGTCATTGAAGTGCAATGAATATAACACGTTCATTATTTTACGGCCATGCCACCTGGACTGGACGGAATTTGCTGCGAATTCAAGCAATCAGCAACTCAATGGAGGGGTACTTCATGCACCCAAACCTGGTTTTGAGCTATCCAATGCAGTGGAGCCACTTCGATCTCATTTTTCATCTTTTGCAGGGCTTTCATCATAGCGGTGTTCCTCAGGAGCGACTTGTCAACTCATCGTTGCAAAGAGAGAGAGAGAGAGAGAGACAGAGAGAGATTCTGAAGAACGAGTTGGTGGAGGGAAAAGAAACACTGGCTTCACATATTTTATACTGAGAGTCAAACGACCAAGGATTTACCGTCCTCCATATCCAATATCATCCAATATCCATATATCATGTATCCATACAAACATCTCGTCTTGGCCTCTTGACTTGTAATTAAAAGCATGTGGGGATGGATTTTATGGGGAAACCCGTCGGTGAAGATTGTTGAGGATGACATTCATGTCCACCTGGCCTATTTCTTGTCCCTGTTTGGATCAATTCGGAGTCATACCATGTCATACCCATGCAGAATAACTGCGGTCTGCTAAGAGGCTTTTCGGTGATCTTCACATCCAAATCTTCAACATCTTGACTGAGCTTGTTCCGCTTCTCGACAGCATCCTGACCAGAAAGTCTCAATGTCTAAGGGTTGCATTTTTTCGATTAATGTTCGTCCATAAATAAGTTCCCCTCGGTTGACTAGTCCATGGGTAACTGGAATAGCTCTGCACCAGTACTAGTCACTAGTCCCTTCAGTTGAGACCCACCCAACAAAAAGACATGCAAAGGAGCCGCAGCCTAGAGCCGGACTCAGGAATCACCCATGACCCAGATTACGGTCCTGCGAAAGCCCACATCATTCATCCAACAGAGCCAATCCATTCAGTTTGGCCATCAACCAAACAAAACAGCTGAAAAACACATCCAACTCACAGAACAAGGCAGCAGTCTAATGTGGTGACCTGGCCTGATGGGCCTTGCCACTTTCAGTGTGCGCCGTGGCCGCCTTTTCCACTGCGACCATGGCGTCCCGCTTCCTTGGCGAGTTTGGATGCTCTCTGGGAGGTAATGTCTAGAGATGGTGCCTAAGGCTCAGCTCCATTCTTCCTGACTCGTTGCACCAGCCGGTGAAACAGGTGTTGGTCGTTTGTGACGCTGTACCTTCTCCACCCCCAAACCAATGCGTCTATTGAGAGTCTCCTGTTTTGTGCCTTGAAAAAAAAAGGACTTTATGAAACCTGTGAATTTTCCAAATGACAGAAACACATGGTTGGGCTTTCAGGAGATCCTGAACTGATCGACAAACGGTATCAAAAGAGAAACCAAAAGAGGCAAAGGCAACAAATGCTTGAGATGCTATCTAATTCCGTTGGTATGTATATAACAATAATACAGCTCATTAGAATTCAGCATTTGAATGAACCAATACTTGTGAAAAATCATGACACACCTTCTGCCCAGGGATCGACTTGGCCTTGGCCTCCACTGCTTTGGTCTTGGCATTCACGTCATCCACGAGAGCCAGTTCTCGGGTCAGCAGGTGCTTCATGTGTAAGTATATAAAGCTATATTATATAGAGCGTTCACATTGCGCAAGCTTGAGGCATGTCACACTGATGGATGTGTCCCAAGAGATACACTGTAGCCATTTGACGTTCACCCATGCGCAACCTCGTTTCCCGCTTTTGTCACCCATCCACATCTCAAGGTCAATCAAACTACAGGTTTCCTGGATCAGTTTGAGGCGAAACTGAAGGTTGGCCTCAACCCAGTGAAGTCAATATTTGGCAAATGGAAGGTCCCTACCATTACAACAAAAACACTACCTTTGTCGTTCCTGGTCCATTTCCTCATTATATATATATATATACACTGGAATGTTGTGCTATCCAAGAGGCTCTTTTGCAGCGCGCTTGCTGCAGAAACCTCCCACATCAAGGCACCGAAGCGACGGGTGCAAGGTGCATTTAGTGAAGTTTCGTCATCTCCATGTCTTCCATTCTGCTGATCTTCAAAATCAAATGGCGCCGCGCCTTCTTTGTCTCGGCTTCCTGCTGTTTCTCCTTGAGCTCGTCCAAGCGGGCGTCGAGGCTCCTAGATCTACAATCACCAGCTATGACATTAGAGAGGCGCCCAAACTACATGTTCAATAAACTCCTTCACTTGTTTGCCAAAGAAGCATCAACCCAAACCACCTAGATGTTGTTTGAGTTCAAATCCTTGAAGCAGCTTTCAGCGCACGATTGACCGCACCAGGCACCATGCCGGACTCCAACTCAGCCTAGGCTGTGGGTTGAGAAACGTAGCAAGTTTCGCTTTGCTGGGACTCAGAGCGCAGGAACTGATATTCGGCACCACTCTTTCGGGAGCGTATTTGGGAAGATCTATCCAATCCATGCATGTATGTCTGGGCACTCTCCCTCTCTCTCTCTCTCTCTCTCCCTCTCTCTCTCTCCCTCTCTCCCTCTCTCTCTCTCTCCCTCTCTCTCTGTCTCTCTCAAGGAACCCCCGCCCTGTTATATAGTTTGGTCCGCCTTGCTCTGGCAATAATAGCCGCCTTTCAAAAGCATGCTCGCCCCTTGGTAAAATTATATAGTTTGGTTCACCTTTCTTACTTGGAGCCAATCTTTTTTGCAATGCCAACCTTTTCTTCCCTATTCCCTTTCAACCCCTGTATATAATTTCAACAGCCCCCGATCCCAATTGAGTAGCATCCCTGCTCCAAGTAACTTTCGAAACTCCTTTGGCTCCTGCTGGCTCATTGTTGGCTCATGCCGTTAGCCCATTGTCGGCTCAGTGAAACTCATCGGATAGGACATTGGCCAAATTGGTGGATATGTCATGTGCGGCAAATGCCTCCTCCAATCAAAAGCAATCCCACTGATTTCCTTCCATAAATATTCCCTTCCCTCCTCATACAACCCTGATCTTCGGGATCCCTCCACATGCAAAGATTTAATCTTTGGGATCGCTCCTCGTGAAGAAATTTAGTCTTTGGATCCCGAAGAGACTTAGTCTTTAAGGTCTCTCCTCATGAAGAGATTTAGTCTTGGGGAGACCCCCCAATTAAGCGACATGTTCAATCCTTCTTCGACCCCCCCAACATAACAAAGCGTCTAAGGGGATTGATCAAGCCCTGACATTATACTATATTCTTTTGTCTCGCGCTCTAACTCTACCTCTCTCTCCCTCTCTCTTGCATGCTTGCTCTCTCTTCTCCTTTCTATTTCTGCCTGTCTGTCTGTCTGTCTGGCTGGCTGGCTGTCTGACTGCCTGCCTGGCTGCCTGGCTGCCTGCCTGCCTGCCTCCCTCCTTGACTCTCTCTGTCTCTCTCTCATAAAGAGTTGCCAAACTGTTGAGTTGTGCACGCGTCTTTTCTGCCTGATGGACGTGCTAGCTCAAGTTGTAGTCATTGTAGCATCTCTGTATCCCCGACTCTTCCCCTCCCCCTATCTTGCTCGTTGTGTATGTCTTTGCATCTGTGTAACCTCGGGATCGCTAAGCAGTCATGACATAATGATACAACAATATACAGGTTCGGTGCCTCTCAAATTGAGGGTTAAGGAGCCCCTGGAAAAAGAACGTTTGATGCACCTGCTGCTTGGGGGGTCCCTCATTTTTGGCGACAAACCCCGACGCAAGCAACACAGAGTGTGGCCCTCCAAAGCGAACAAGAATTGGCTGCATGTCCCTTGTTGGTTCACATATCCGGCACCAAAATGGACAACGAATCATACTCAGTCACTCAGTCTCTAGGATGCTCTGAGCCTTACTGTAGATCAATCTGACATGCCCAAGGTTTCCAGTAGGTCGAAGCAAGTCCAGGTAAATACACTGAATATAGCAGAAAGCGCACTTCGAGCGATTAGCTTTGACTCAACCCAAAAAGATCAAAACTTTGCTTGTTCTGCTGACCACTCATTAGTCGCCCAGGGTCTAAGCCACTCTAAGCAAGGAGCCAGGGCCATTGCCATTGCCCAGTTTTTTGTCTGAGCAGAGGCGTCAGGGTCGCCAATCACGAAGAGTTCTTGCTTTCAAGCTGTGAAGAGTTATATAATACAACTTGTAAGCTGACTTCTGCTTTTTGGTTCTGTAAATGGAGGCAGGATCTCAGGGGTGAAAGTCCTTCGAGGGAGACAATGATGTTGAACTCCATACCATCAAATCAAAGACTTGAGACTACGGTACTTACTCTCACTCACTCACTCACTCACTCACTCTCTCTCTCTCTCTCTCGCTCTCTCGTTACAAATGCACTGAGATCTTGTAAATCAATCAAACCATTTCCGGTCAAAATTTAGCCTCCGTGACGTGTGCATTTCGGCACTGACGACAAAGGCCTACTCTTTCATGCCCGCCTCGTCTATTTACGGATCTATATGTAAAGCCCGCAGTTCTGGCAAACACCCCCAAACACCTTCACTACTAGGAAAAACATCGGACCCCAGCACCATGCGGCCGGCTTAGCATCTTTGTTTCATGCCTGATCCTGGCGATGTCGCGCAGCTGTCACCGAGTCCAAGAGGAGTGCCAAGAGGAGTGTCGTACAGCCTGCTGGGGAGTGTCGTAAGCTCGAAAAGCGAGAACGAAACAATCTGGTTGTGGAGACTCTTTGAATGGCCTTCAGCATTTGGGGGGTCATAAGTTAGGCGGGCAAGAATGATAGAATGTGACAGAATGATATCCAATTGAGATCAACTTATCCAATCTCAACTCGGGGCACAATAACTCATACTAAGTTTATAATAACAAAGAATGCAGCTAGCCCATGCAAGCAACCAAACTGTAAAGCTCGGGACTGCTGGCATTTCATGACAGTCAACAAACCAACCACACAAGAGGCATCCTCATGTGGTCATGTCAATGTGTGTTTTCACAAGCAGAGCGGCCTGCCCAGGAGTTGACAGCCATGGAGGAAAAATGTATAATGAGTTGCGCAAAAAACTGTCAAAATCGGAACCTTTTGGTCCCTTGAGAGGCAATGCCGCTGGGACAACTGGTTTACAACTGCCAGTGAAAAAAAGCGATGCGGTTGGCAGGTATTGGAGTGAGCTACATGCAAAAGTCCATGAAACATGAACATGAACGATTGCTTGCTCAAGGAAAGCTCTGCTCAATGACGTTTTGTGTTCCTTTTTGAACATGTTGCTTGGCGTTGCATGACTTTGTGCTTTATCACTCCAAAATGTACTCTACAATCTACACTGCGCCTCGGTGAGAAGTATCCAATGCCCAGACATACCCGCCGGGCCGATCTCACTATCTACCTCCCGCTCCCAGAAAGGTGGTCAGGCTTACGGTGGACGAGGGCAACCCGTTTGGGAGATAAAGTGAAAATACCCTAAGCCACTTGTGTTAGACTGCCAGGCAAACAAACCACGACTGGGACAACGTCCAGCCCAGGCCAGCTGGTCTCTCTTGCCAGTGCAACGCATGTTGAGCAGCATCTCCAAGTCTTGAGCCCAATAAGCAAAGGAGTTGCAATTGTACTTTCCTTTGGAATCCAAGCAAGTCTTCCGGCTCATTTCGGCTCAAGCACCACCCACTAATAGAAGCAAATGCAAAAAACCACTTCGTGTCTTTTTCGTGCAGTCTGAGCAATGTTGCAGCTAGCCAATTGAGCAGTGTCCAACGCTGTCCTGTTCTTGTAGGAGCTACCGACAAGTGGGGTGTGGCAGAATTTGAATGTGACAAGGTATGACAAAAGCTACTGAACATCTCAAGAAACAATACGCATCATTTACAAACTGTTTAAGCTGTCGGAGCTGATCCAATGTTGCTTCCATGATGCCAGTGGTCCAAAGTCTAGTTTAGTGGTCGCTCATCATGTGACATCATATGACCGTCCTCCTTGCTGGTGCCTCGGGGGTAGCATTTTTCATTTGATAAAGGAATTGTGGCTATAAAGTGAATAGGGGTGATGAATCGATGATTTTTGTCTATAGTCTATAGAATGAACACCGTCTCGTTTTTATAGAATGTGTTAGTCCACATTGTTTTGTTGCTGCCAGGTGCCAGAATGTGGAGAACGAGATTTGTATAAAGTGAGTTCGGCTCTGCTCTGGAAGGACTGGCTTTCCTCCTTTTAAGACCCTGTCTTATCTACATAATGGCTTATCTCTTCTTGCAGAAAGCTTGATTTATGCAGCCCATATATAGGGAAAACATGTTGTCTTTATAGAATGTCATGACTTAGGCCACAGGCAATTTTATAAGGGAAACGGATCTTCATTTCGCAAATAAGTGTGGAGGATATATTACATGAACCAAAAGGTCCAAAGATCAAGCCCAAAGGTCCAAACCTGCCGCTTTGACAGGGCGACAGGGTGCAGCATTTACACCGCATCGACAGTCACTGCTCACTTCACCTGGGAGCAAGGAAGTTCCTCCCTTGCCACTTCTCCTTTTGTGGATGCAGGTCTAAAAACAGTAGGACTGAGCAGTCTTCTCATAGACTCAGTATCTAGTTGGGAGCAAACATGCAAAATAATTTATCAAGCACATTTGTAGAGCATGTCCAAATGTCCCACATTGTGCCACCAAGTTTGTCTGACTGACATCCACCATCAAAGAGGTGCTTGGCGAGAGGGGAGCTACGGCCCCTTCCACCAACCCTCAAACCTCTGACGTTTCAGAATGAATCTGATCACCACTCTCGATGGGGAGACAACTACAGCGCCACTGCAAAGCCAGTGCCAAAGCGAAAAACGATCCGCATCGTGGAACTTTGAGACTGTGAAATAGTAGCGTTCTTGCTCCCAGTAGCGATGCCAGGAGCCCCGATCATAGCGAACACTGCTCCTAATCCATAACGATGTCTTCAATGTGTTTGGTCCTAAGATGTCCTAAGGCGTCCAAGATCTTCCAAGGTGTCTCCTTCATATTGTTCCAATCTAAGCACAGAAACCAACACCCAGTAGAGGACCCTTCCAACCAGACGAATCTGCCGATTGCGAAGACGTCCTTTCGCTTGGGCGCTCAAGGGCGCTCAATCTATGTTTGCAGGCATCTGTGGCACTGCCAGCTGGTTTTGTAGCAAACAACCAAAATGTGTTTATATCTGTGACAGGCTTGCCATGAGTTCCCACCCTCCAGTCTCCTCTCTCATCGAGTTTGCCAAACCCATCCAGTCGGGGTCAACTGCATGGCACGGCACATTGGCCACATGGCTAGCTAGGCCGACTCAGGTGATCTCTGACTTCCTCCAGACTCCCGACGAACCTCATGGTGCGGACGGGGAGACTGACCCTGGCCAGATTAACCAAATCTTGCTTAGGCATGGATGGTATAGCAGAACCTCAGAGCTCAGTGATTGGCGTGATTGGACTTGCGAGTCATGATAAGAGAAAAACAGCATCTGGAAGGGATCCTTGTGCTTGCGCAATTTGTGAAGTGGGGCAACCACGGCCAACCAACAGCTTGTCAGCTTGTATCAAGGGTAGCAGGACATTATATTACTGGGCCGCCTTCCACTGTTGGCCATCACATCAACACCAACAAGTCAACTCTCCTATAAGTGAACGCACAATGCACCGCAGAATTGTACGAGTGCCAACATGCACGGATTCCGATCTTAAAGTCTTACAGTAAAACACCTGATCTGGAAAGTAATCGCCCACCATCACAGCAAAGCACCTCGTTCACGAAAATCTGCATGCAGTGCGCGAAAATTTGGGCCTGCCAAAGATGAGATTGAGATTGAAGCAACTCCGGCACTCGGCTCACCTGTAAAGAAGACGGTCACCTAATTGAGTCTCCAAGTCGCTACTTTGAGAGGGAAGATTTGAGTAGATGAACACCCGCCATTTGTTGGGGTTTCTCTTGGAGACAGACCCAAATCAAGCCTGGCCTCGGCAGCCTGCGCGCTGGTTTCCACCGGGAAGCGAAGCATTAATGACCTCCAAGCAAGGGAACTGTGGTCCATGCGCTGACACATGCGGGGACAAAGTGGAGCTGGAAGGCTGGAAGGACGACCAGCTAAGGACGTGAAGATCCCGTTTTTGAGGGATGCATCAAAGACACCCCGGAGCTGATGAGAATCTGAGAGTTAGGAGTCGGAGGGCTTTCTTTACTAGAAGCTTTGCGTGTCCTTGCAAAGACCAAGTCCACTGGGCTCCCCTGTACTATATGCCCAAGCTGTGTGAGAAAGAAAACACAGTCGCATACAAATACCCGATCGTAATATGTTCAAATCTAAGCAAAAAAAAACGGCCTGCCATCGGTGAGATCGACCACCGCGCAGGTGGCATCCAGTCCTGGCAGAGAAAGTTGTTTCCGTACTCAAGAAGTATTTAAAACACAATGGACCCACAGGTTTTGGTGATCTGTTCCATTTACCGCATTGATTAGGAGGGGTTGTAGGGCACCCTATGCCCCATGTTTGAGTACACTGGAGCCATATTCATGCATCAATGTTCCATAATATTGAAGTGCCACATTGCCGCGCTTTGTTTCTGCAATGTCATCACACTTCTGGCCTGACATCAGCTGCGGCATCAGGCAAGTCTAGTGACAAAGTCCCTAGCCTGGTGTGGTAAGCTCCTTTGCTTGCAGGCTGTTCCCAGTGTACACAGCAGATACCTGGACAAGCGGGTTGCAATGAAAGTCGTGAAGGATGATGCACCTGCACAGTTCATTCTCGTCTCTAGGCTGCAGGATACTATCGGGCGCATCCAAAGCTAGAAACTTGGACTGTGACATTCTTATACGCTCTTCATGATTTGGCATGGGCAAAAGCTACTGAACTACTGAACTTATCTTCAAGCATTTTTGCAAGGACCCTCTTATCCTCTTCAAACATGCGGCGGCCAAAGAAGACTACGGCTCCATGCAGGGTAGCATGCGTAGGGACAAAGCAATTGCTCGACATGGTTTCACCATGTTTCACCATGTTTCACCAACATGCACCCGAGAAATCCAAGAAATCACAGCCACAGCCGCCACAGCCCGGTCTTTTCGTCGCAGGTCGATCAACCAAACTGAACCGATCCAGATCGATCCATCGGCACCTCCGGAGATCAGGGCAATGTGGCAAACATAACATCTCGGTCTAGTCTAGTGCTCCAGAAAAAAGAAAAAAACAGTAAGGTCGCCTCTGAGAGCCTAAAGCCATGGAACCATGTCTGAATAGGTGTGCATCCACATGCATCCTACTGGATTGGGGGTCTGCCACATGAAAATTACCTCAACAATATCTCACATCCGAATGAACCGTACATTGTTGCTTGTCATTAAGCCAAGACATTATATAATATCATCATCTGAATACACAACCATACAACCAAATACAACCATGGATCACCCTTGTTCGAAAATGCAACAGTCCAAAAGTGAAACCAAACAACAGTCACAAGAAACCTTCGTCTGCGACCACTTGCTTACGGCCTTGGGCGTCTCAGTACGGTTGACCCATATTTTAATTCTTGAACCTAGAAATGGCATCGCGCGCCCTGACAAAAACTACAGAGCGAGGGTGACACTACATGTCACGCCCGTATCAGAAAACCATAATTTTAACATTGTATAAATTCAATCGTGAACAGCGCTAATTCACAGCTGTGTTGAATTCACTCTCCACTTTGGTCAAACTTTCTCAAGTTGCTCCTTCTGCTACGCGCTAGGACTGCTAGGCTCAAGTACATCTAAGTATCTACAAGTAAGTATCAGACAACGAAGGCCAGCTGCTATTTCGCTCCCTGGCCTGCGGGGATCATCCGCTGCCCCTTCTATTATGGGAAGGTGCTCCTGCACAAACGATTCTTGATTCCAGCACAACACGACTGAACGCAAAAACCTGCAGAGTTCAATAGAACACATGTGTAATGCGTAATGTTGACCACCGTGCCTGTCAAGGGGCAAAATGAATATACATATATATGTATATTTATTTATTTATTTACGTATATATCTAAAAATATGTTTGCTAACTGTTACCCCCAGCCGTGAAGAAAACTCTATTTGTTCATACATCTTGATTAAAATTGATTAAACCTTGTTATACTGGACTATGCTCAAAGTTCTGCGTCTGGCATGATACGTCCAATACTTAACTTAGAACTGCCGTCTCCTCTTCCGCAAGCCAGGCCCTTCAAGAGTTGCAAAGCCACTGGAGGCCGTTGCTCAAGCAACACGCAACGTCAACTGGCGACCGGAGTCCTGGTGATCCCAACTGCATCCCAAAGTCCACTGCCGCACACTTTGTCCAGCTCCGTGTTGTTGGCTTGGATCCTGGGTTTGATGTGTTGGATTTATATATTTCCTTGCAGGATATCGGC